GCTAGTACCATCACTTTTTCCATTTTTATTCTATGTTGAATTTAATATGTTAACTGCCTCATAGTCGTTCCATTAACTGAATTTAACTATTAGAAGTTTATATAAAATAAATTTATAAAATATATAAAATTAATGGGGTATTTTAGAAAAAAGAATTTTTTTGGTAGGTATCGACACAAAAAATTAAAAAATATAAATTGAAATATAATATATTAAATCTAAATTTTTTAATTGCTTTTTGTTAATAGATATCTACCAAAAATAATGTTTTATCCAAAAAATCCTACAATAATTTTTATAGTATAGACTATAATATAGTCTATACCAGTATATAGTCAGAAGTATTATATATATTTTATAGTATAGACTTTAATATAGTCTACTTTATCTATAATTTAGTCCCAATATTATATCTATAATATAGTCCCAATTTTATCTATAATATAGTCCCAATTTTATAGTATAAACTATAATATCTATTTTATAATATCTATTTTATCTATAATAGTCCCAATTTTATAGTATAGACTATAATATAGTCTATACTAGTATATAGTCTATAATAAAACAGCAACAATAATAAAAGCCAATAACAAAATTTGAGCTATACTATACTTTAAATATATTATTATAAAAACTATTACATTATAATATAGTCTATATTATAGTGCAATAGTTTTTTTAATAATGAGCTTAAAATCGAAAAAATGAATTTTGATTTTTTCTTTATCACATATAATATATATCCGTCTATTGGATGATAGGAAAAGCAATTTTCTAAATACAACTTGTATATTTCATTATTTTAAGTTACTTTACTATCACAACAACCGTTCAAGAAAGAAACTCCAATTTTAAATACGAGTTTACTAGTTTGTTCAATAAATTTTGTCGTTCGATTGGAGATGGCGCTATGAGGTTCCTTATTTTGTTTATCTCAAATTGTTATTACTTTTTTTTAAACACGTGCGAAGTTATACGTAGATCTGTTAACTCATTTGTATATTTACAGGTGTTCAAAGTTTCAAATTATTTTGTAATGAAAAAAATTGAATATTGTGCAGTAAAAGAATTCTTATTTAGTGAATGCGTAGCACCAAAACAATTTCATTAACGATTATTAAAAAAGTACAAGGATACTTCACATTCAATTAGAATAGTAAAAAGATGGAATGCTTAACTTGTTTGTACAAGAAAGATGGAATGCTTAACGTGGTTGTACAAGTTTTTAAGATGATCCACGTCAAGGACGTACAATATGTGCATTACAACCAAAAATCGTATCAAAAAAACAACATATGATTTTGGAAGATTATCAAGTAATTGAGAGAGATTTAGTAGAAGCTCTAGACATCTCCTTAGGTATAGTAAACAAAATTTTGAATGAAGTTTTTAGTTTCAATAAGTTGCGTGCACAATATACGTGACATTTGCTAACGATGAAACAAAAACAAATTCGGTTGCAACTTTCTTAGCAACATTTAGCGATTTAGAAAGAATAAAAAGAATTTTGTGCGTCATTTCATAACTATGGCTGAAACTTGGGTCTACAATCAATAACCTGAAACAAAACAAACGGATAAGTGACATGAACCCAGTACTTTCGCTCCGAAACGAGTAAGGGTCCAGAATTCGTCCAAGAAGATGTTAGCATTATTTTATTGTAATGCAAATGCAAAGTTTTGTTTACAGATTACCTTCAAACTGGTTTTACAATAAACTCAGATTATTAGTGTAACCAGTTTTGAACAATAGTGAGAAATGACCAGGTTTAGAAAAGAAAAAAATAACTTCTCATCAAGAAAACGCACCCCACACAAATCAAAAAACCATTACGAAAATCAGTGAATTGAAGTATGAATTGTTGCAGCATCTATCATATATACTAGTTTTGGCTCAGCAAATAGGGTAGATGTTGATTTAGTGTGAGAATAGCCATAAGTTGACAACTTATGGCTATTCTCGCATTAAAATAAATTCATGTGTTGAAAACGATTTTTATTAAAACAAAGAATTAAAGCAGCCGTGGAAACCTATTTCGAAGGTCTTCTAGATTCTCACTACAAGGATAGAGTACATAAACAAGAAAATCACTAAAAAAAGTTTATTGAAGTTTAGAACAATTATATGGAATAACAAACTGTATATCAAACACTAAAATTTATTTTTTTAACAAGCGATACTTATTCAGCAACCTAGTAAAAAAATATAGCTACTCAGAGCAATAGCATATATAAAAACAATCTTGTGAATATTGGCCTACTTTGAGTGTTGCAGGTATTCATATTTAATGAACCAATGTGTTATTTTAATTTTATGTAAATATAGTTACTCAGAGCAGTGCCGTCCCGATGAGTTTTTCCATAGGAAAAGGGATAGAGAGGTGTTGTATTTTTTTTTTTTTTTGCCAACTAAAGACACCTGAAAGAAAAAAAAAATATATATAAAAACATTCTTGTAGAAATTGGCCTACTTTAAGTGCTGCAGGTATTCATATTTAATGAACCAATACTTCATTTAAACCAATAATTTTTTTGCTTTTTAACAAGATTAAAAGTTACTAAATTGCACAGTTGTTTGAATGTTGCTCAGGTTAATAGTTTGAGTTACTCAAAAAAAAAGGTGCCCAATTTTTTTGGCTTTTATTAGGCAGATTAAGATTACAAGCTAAAAGTCGATTTACGAAAATGATTTTAAAAAAACCTAATGAAACTGTTGAGTAAACATTTACTATAATAAAAAAAAAGATAAAACAAAAAGCTTTTGCATGCTGATTTTATTCTCATTAATTCCTTTTATATCAGCGTTTAACTAGTTATTCTGAGCAATAAGTTTATAGAAACGAAATGAGAGGAGTACAGTCTTTATATTTATGAAGCTTGATTTCACTTAATTCTTCAAAAAGTATACTTTTGATGTTAAAAAAAGTATTATATAATCATCTTCCTTGATTAATAATTCTTAATTCATTACAAGCAATGCAAGCAAAATAATCATAAAAAAAAACAAGTTTGTTAATATAGAAATGTTTTAGCCTGTTCTTTTTTTTAATATTATAAAATACAACATTTTTTCTTTCAAATTTTTCTTTTAAGATACATTATAAATTAAAAAGAAAATTTAGTTGCTAAATAATAGCGTTAATTTAAAGGAAAAAAGTTAAAGGAAAAATAGGAAGAAACAACACAACAATCACAAGTTTTCTTCTAAATTTTTTTATTTAAAATATTGCTTTAAGAAAGTTAAATTTACTTTGTCACTCTAATTTGGTATAATTTATTATTGATTGTATATTCAATTTCGAAAGGAAATAATTAAACTTGAAAAGTGACTTTTTGAGTGTATCAAAGTTTTCAGTCTTCCAACTTGTTTGATAAGTTCTGTATAAGTTCACTACTGATTTGTACTAAATCTAAAAAAAAGATATACTTCAATAAAATACAATCAATTGTTTAAATAATTAGATTGTGATACATACTCTCCGAAGAAAAAAAATAAACAAAGAGTTTATATAATTTTTAGAGCATGCAGGAACAGATACAGTAAAATGCGACTTTGCTGAATGATGGTTTAATCGAGAATGAGTTTTGGTTAATGGAACTAGAGATGATAGCTCCTTTGAGCAGCAACCATTTGTAGAAAATAGAAAGAGATGCAACTTAACCACAATTGGAGTTAGGTTGAAGTAAGCAACTGAGTTTTGTTGAAGTTATAATTCAAAAGGTACTACAAGCCCCAAGCTGCTACAAAAGTGATATCAGATTTTTATTTAGACAGGGGTATAAAAGTACACCTTCAGGTTGTCCTGACCTGAAGGAGTACTTTTTTTTTCCTCGTTTTTCGAGGAAAAAAAAAGTACACCTTCAGGTCAGGACGAACCAATATCAGCAAAGAGTACGATTTTTTGCAATGGTTAAATGTGTACATTGATCATAGAGAAATAACGACGACGAATCTTGGAGATAAAACAGCAATAGAGATACAAAACAACAATGACAGAGATATAATAAAAAATGTTGGAGAATTACCTTTGTCATGTATAAGTGATGAAAATATGAATTATGATGAAGAATTAAGTAATCAGGAAGAATTAGAAAAAGAAACTTTAAATGACAATACAAGTCTAATAACTTTGTCTAATACATGTAGGCCAAGTACATATAGTAATCAACAAAAATCTTTAAATGAAATAACATATCCTATGAATATAAGAAAAAAGAATTTAAAAAAATCTGATAAAAATACAAAACTAGAAGATGCAATACTCACTACTATGAGCAATATTAATGCAACATTAGGAGTTAGTTACTTGAAGAAAATGATGACATAACATATTTTTGTAAATCTATTTGTGCAACAATAAAGAGATTACCTACTAAAACTCAAGCAGTTGCTAAAATAAACATTCAGCAATATTTAGCTGCTCTGGAATTTCCAGATATTGTTTCATGAAATATAATTTGTTAACATTCTTTTAAAAAATTTCAACATTTTGTCATATGTAATCTTTAAATAGTAATTTAATATGTTAATACAACAATATATTATTAAAACAAAAGAATGTGTTTTTTTCACTATTGGAAAAAAATTTGCTTTCCTGTTATATTGTGCCCACAACTAGTTACATAATTATGTTGCCATGACAATTATCCACTTGGATGATTAAAATATTCTGTTAGCGTTAATCTCACAGTGCTAGCATCTGTTGTGTATCGATTGCTTATACATAGAGGTAAAATGTTTAAAGCATTACCTTTACCTTGCGCAATTTTTCTCCAGTCTCCAGGAATAAGTTCACTAGAATTTGTTTCTAAATCAGCAAATCCAGATGGTACATAGTGAATGCTGTCATTGAGTTTTAAGTAATTATGTAAACAAATTGCAGCTTTTATGATGTTGTAAATATTTTTAGGGGTTGCTTTTATTGGACATCTAAATATTCTCCATTTAGGTACCATAATTCCAAAGGAGTTTTCAATTATTCTTCTAGTCCTAGATAATCAATAATTGAAATTACGTTCCTTGGTTGTTAAGTTTTTACCAGAAAAAGGTTTCATTAACCAAGGTTTTATCGCAAAAATATTATCACCAACTAGCACTGGTGGTACTTGTGTGCCATTTGATAGCTGTCGGTTCTTGGGAAGTTTGAACAAATTATATTTAAAAACTTTACCCATTTCGCTTTCATTAAATATAGATGCATCATTACCTCTACCATAGCTACCTATATCTACCAAAGTAAAGCAGTATTTTGCATCACATATGGCTTGCAAAACCATACTATGATAGTTTTTGTAGTTGTAGTAAGCAGATCCACTTGAAACAGAAGCTTCAATGCATACATGTTTGCCGACTATTGCCCCAATGCAATTAGGAAAATTCCACTCATTTTCAAATTCATTTGCTATTTTTTCCCACTCATCTGAACTTTCTGGTGCCTTTAAATAACTTGGTTGCAAAACATCCCAAATAGCCTTTGTTGTTTCATTGATTATGTTGCATACTGTTGTTTTGTCCAGTCTAAAATAAAAAGATTGTGTTTGTTGTGAATCCCCAGTAGCCAAATATCTCAGGGTCACAGTCAATTGTTCTGAAGGTGATATAGTTTGACGGCTTCGACAAGATTTTTTTTAATTCTAGGTGCAACCATTGACAGCAAGTGTTCATACCTTTCAGGAGACATTCTGTAAAATCTATAAAAAAAATTCTCTGTCATGAAGACGTAACTCAGGAATTAGTGTGTTAAATGCTCCTTTTTCGCAATCATTTCTAAATAATGAGTGTATCCAAAATTTGTGTTTTCTTTTTTTCTTGATTCTTATTTTATATATATATATATATATATATATATATATATATATATATATATATATATATATATATATATATATATATATTTATATATATATTTATATATATATATATATATATATATATATATATATATATATATATATATATATATATATATATATATATATATACATATATATATATATATATATATATATATATATATATATATATATATATATATATATATATATATATATATTTATATATATATATATATATATATATACATATATATATACATATATATATATATATATATATATATATATATATATATATATATATATATGTGTATATATATATATATATATATATATATATATATATATATATATATATATATATATATATATATATATATATATATATGTATATGTATATATATATATATATATATATATATATATATATATATATATATATATATATATATATATATATATATATATATATATATATATATATATATATATATATTATTTTAGCTATTAATATATTATAAAATATTATTTTAGCTATTACTAAATTAAAATACAAATCAAGTTAGTTAAAGTTAAGAGAAATATTGTCCGAAAGAATTAAAGCTGAAGAAAAAAAAATCTTTTTTTGCTAGAAAAAAGTGTTGGGATTCTTGTTTCTTTACAATAATAAGTTGAATCTAAGTTTTATGCAGTAGACATTTTTAACTTGTTACTTTAAAATAATTTTTTGTGAAAACTACACTCCTACAAATAAAATAATAGGACAATATTTATAAAAATAAAATAATGTCAGTCTTTATTACATAATCAGTATTTGTAACATTTTTTTATGTACTTTTTACATAAGCATAAACTAATAAAAGTAATTATGAGAAATATTTTTTATTTTACAAAAATATTTTTAGTTTGATAATTAAAAAAAATTTTATTTAAGAACGTATGTTTCATAAATTCAGTTACAGGTTCATAATATTTTATTAAGGCATGAACGTATTAAAAAAATATAGAATTTACAACCAGTGTTGTGGCTAGTGAATCAGAGGCTCTTCCCAAAACATGTCATTAGGGCTAAAAAAATTTGAAAATAATCTTTTACTATGTGTCACTTAAAGAAAAAACTTCTTGATTTTTGAAATAAGCCCTTAAAAAGTTCAAAAAAGGTCCCCTAGAATTGCTGGGCCTTTCACCAACTAGGTCATGCGGAGCACAGCCACTGTTTTGTTTTTGTTGTTTTAACAAAAGTTTAAAAACGCTTTTAAAATTAATGGAAACAGCTGGGTCGTGCGACAAATATTGCAAAAGTTGTTGCGCGACAGTTGTCGCACGACTGTCGTGCGACTATATGGAAACCAACCTTAAGCGTTTATGTACAGTCTTAATGTCGTTTTCTTATTGTTTACGAAACAAAAGGTTACAAGCATAGTCCCAAAGTATTTCAATGCGGTTGAACTTCCATCTGTTTTATACTTCCATGATTATACAAAGTATAGAAAATGTATGTTGTTAGCACGTATTTATTGCAGTAAGCTGTAAGCTCGTATTTATTACTAAAACCTTAAAAATCTATATAAAGTTATATTTTAAAATTTACACGAAAAAATTATAAATTAGATTTGTCTATGTTTATTTATTTATGCAAATAAAAAGTTCAACAAAATTTTATTTTTGAATTTATGAATAAAATTTATGAATAAAAAAAAAAAATATGAATAAAAAGAATTCATGCAAATAAAAAGTTCAATCAAAAAACGGAAGAATTTTTATTTATTGATAAGACAATTTTTCTTTAGGATGAAATAACTATATCAGATATACATAAAAGTCTTTTTATGACATCTTTATTTGTCTCCATTCCTAATTTTTAAGACTAACGACAAGGCCGGCGTGATAGGGGGTGTGGGGGGTGTGACACCCCCCTTCCCCCATCAATGATTTTTAGTCTGCAAACTTGATCCTTAGTAGTCTGCAAACTTGACCCTTTCGATAGGTTAGTCAGTCGGCAAATGTCGTTATGGCAATCGGCAAAAAACGAGGACTTTTTTTTTTTTTAGTCGGCAAAAGTTGTAATGGCACCCCACATGACACCGACTCGCGCCAGCCCTGGGTGATGATGGACAACCCAAAAAAAATTTTAGATCTCCAAATCAAGGGGTTCAAGAACAGAGTATTTTTATATGCAAGGTTACATTGGTTTTTTTGTCCTTCCCCTTTTTTTTGGTGCCCCTGACTTATGATTGAACAATAGAAAATTGTCCATTTTTCAGTTGATTTTATTCTGAAACAAAAATCTTTCATTTAACAGTTAATACTAATACACATTCGTCATTTAAAGACAAATAAAGTCAAAAATCAGATAAAATTAACTTAAAATCACTTTTTTTCATGTCTTTTCCAACTTTTTTTTGGTTTTTTTGCACAACTTGCATGGTATCCTGTAGAAGACCTTCGTCATGACTTTCAGCCACAGAATCCTGTACAAGTTTGAAATGGCGCTCAGCCCTATCATTTACTACTGCCAAATTCTCCATTTGATGTTGAGAATGTCTGTAGGAATCATTTTCAGTTATCCTTTATTTATGTGTTTATTACTTCCGTAGTTATACCTAGGTATGTGAAGAGCAGCCAGGACTCCTTAGTGATAAAGTCGGACAAAACTGACACGGGAACCACATGAGTTGGAGGGTGAGGTTTTTCCATTTCAAAATCATCAGGTTGTGGAAAATTGAAACCTAGAAGCTTCTGAGCTAGTCTAGCTTTTTTTTTCTGTTCTAAACGTCTATTGAAAGAATAACTAGCCGTGTCAGGTACCAACTATTACGGACCAAGTTTGCATAGAGCAGCTTTCCCAGGGAACCATACTTAGATTGTAAGCAAGTATAGACAATCAGCCATGAACCTTTTTTGGTGGTGGGAACCTGGTTGTTTAAACTGGAAACCAGGTACATGGCAACCAAGGTAAATGACTATTAGCTCACAATGAACTTATCTCCCCCTTTGAAAGCAATCTTGTTTTAGGGTTGTTACGCAGAAGTTCTTAGTATCTAATACCCTTATATAAAAATTTTTGCCTACCATATACTCCTCTCTTCCATAATTGAAAAAAAGTAACTAGTCGGCATTATTTGCCCTTTCTCTTATTTCTGATTTTTTTAAAAATCTTTATATATTGCACGTGATGGAGATTTTTGTTGAATTTTAAATATAATCCATTGCATGGGAACCCCTTTCAGATATATGGTGCCTTAAAAAATAAATTTTGTAAACATACAAAATGTACAAATTTTGAAACAATTTTATGCAACAAACTTTTAAATTTTTTTATCAAAATATTTAATTACTTACATAGCAGTCATAGCACAGGTTTTTTAAGCAAATGATCCACCAGGAACTTAATTGCACATTTGTATTTTCAGGTACTAGAAGCTGTTGTATCTGCACTATAACCAATGATCTGGTCAATGAGCTTATAATATTCTAATATGTTCTGAATAGCTATAGTTTGATCCTGCCATTTAGATGACTCAATTTCTAGAACTCCGAGCAAAAAATCTAAGGGTTCATTAACCTGGTGTATGATATACTGAGAGCTAGCCTTTCTACAGTTTCAGACATCTTTTTTTCAGTTTGATAGTGTTTGACCAGTTGTATCAAAATGAATAATTACCTTTAAACTCCAAACTTTGTGCAAATTTTCTTCTCTCACTATTCTAGTTTCATTTTCAATCACAATCTTTTTGTTTCTATTTAGACTACTCTTTAATACAGGAACTGTATTAAAATCAATACCACTAATCTTAAAAATTGTGGACACAAGAGAAGTTTCAGCTCAAACACTGACCTAGTACCTAATCAAGAAAGGAACCCACTTTTCAAGAACATCATTTATTGAAAGCTCCATGTAAAGTCAATCTTCACTGTTTTTTTTTTTTGGCATGGCTCAAATTCACTATCGTTATCAGTGGCACTCCTACCACTTGAATATAATTTTTTCTTTGACGTTTCTTGTTTTTCTTTTTTATGTTGTTCTTTTCTATGCAAACTTTCTGTCATATCTAACATTTGCTTTTCCCCGTCCATGATTTTTTCCCAATAAGGTTTATCTTTCCCAGTGTCAAAATTAGGCATTTCACTTTTGAATGCTCTCTTCTGGAACTCAATATCTTCTGTCTTTGCTTGCTTGTCTCTATTTTTGTTATCTCCTATAAGTTTTATCTCTTATAAGTTAATTTTTTTATCTCTTATAAGTTTTTTATCTCTTATAAGTTTTATCTCTTATAAGTTATCTCTTATCTGTTTTATAAACAGGAAAAGTACATTTTGCTTCTTTTATAAAACTCTCTTTTTTTTTTATATTGCTCTTCTTTGACCTTGTTTATTTCCATAAGGATTCTAAGACTACACAGTTTCTTGTAGCGTTCATAAGATTTTTCAAACCTCTTCTTCACAACTAGTTCTGTATTCCGAAATCAAACCCACCCTTGTCCCAAAAACTTAACAGATCTTTCAGAATGTATACTCCAGTAAGTTCTCCACTGTTACTTTTCTTACATTCCCCTACAATGCAAAACATAGATCTTGACATTGTCTTTAGTAACAGGTTAGTTATATATATATATATATATATATATATATATATATATATATATATATATATATATATATATATATATATATATATATATATATATATATATATATATATATATATATATATATATATATATATATATAAACATGATTAGAATTGCTGTTTTAAATTTAAATTTCCCAAACAAACTAAAGAAATAACTTACTTTATGATTTTACTACAAGTTAAGCGTGGTTTATGCGAAAAAATTTATCTAAATGCTTATATTTTTAAACATGAAAATTATATTTTAGTAAGCATAAAATATTATAAAAGTTAGTTCAAGAATTAAAACTATTGAATAACTGATAAACTATGAATAAAAAAACTTCTCAAACGAATTTTTTAAAAACCTCCTTTGAATTACGTCATGCTTTAGGGAAAGGACACAACTTGTTACTAAAGTGTTACGATGTTGTGACGAGGTGGATAGAGAGAGGTCTAAAATGGTCAAAATCAGCGTGACGTTGTTTGTGGACGACTACTAATACTTTGAGAGATAGAAATGCTCATTTTGTAGAAACAATAAAATCTGTTCAAATTTATTATCAAATATATAAACATCAATTTAATCATTGTAAATATTGATTAACTTTGGCATGACTTATTTTATTTATTCTTTTGATATTTATGAATCAAAAAGTATTTTAAATCACTTTATATGTTTGACTTTTTTTAGGTTTTGACTGAAAGTCCACTCTTCTTAGTGGTATGCGCGATTCATCGTCTACCACGTTAAATGAAAAACCTGATAAATCAACTTCTTCTTTTTAAAATTTCTCAAAGTCCTTCTTGAAGTTATCCATAAAAGTTATCGATAAAATCGCCGTCTTAATTAAAGTTATCGATAAAACCTGCAAACAATTTAATTCTTTTTTATTAAATCTTTTTTATTTTTTTTACTTTTTGTGATTTGTTAATAATTATTTTGTAAAACTGTGTTCCATTCTAAATTAGAACATTTACAATTTCTTTTTTCAAAAATTAGTTCCCAGTGGGAAATGAGCTATTAGCATGCAACTAGCTAGTAGCTTACTTAATAGCCATTTTTGAACAATTTTTCTTACATTATTGTTTCATTTTGTCTATTACGTCTTAATGAATTCGATTTTTAGTATTGGACATATTTATGCTAATTAATGAACTTGTAAGATTGCGATTTTATTACGACATGTCACTATCACAACTTCAGCTTATCACATTTTATTACGACATGTTTATACCACAGCTTTTTAGCTATCGATACTATTACGATATATTGTTAGTTACATATCATATCTTTGTAGCTAGCGATATTATTACGGTTTACCGATGGCTACAGACCGGGAAGCTGTATAAGCGCGAATTTGCGTATGTGCAAACTGGTATAAGTGCGAAGCGTTGCAAAAACTGGCATAGGTGCGAACTGGTATATGTGCGAATTAGCATAAGCGCGCCAAAAGATTTTGCAACTGCTTCGTTTTTGTAACTGTTTGCACTTATGCAAGTTCGCATTTATGCCACTGTTTGTAAATTTATTTGGCGCACTTATGCCAATTCACACTTGTGCCAGTTTTTGCAACTGCTTCACACTTACGTCATTCGCACTTATGACAGGTCGAACTTAAATTTTTCGCGCTAATTCAGTAATCCCTTACAGATCCTAGATATATAGCTAACTAAAACATAACGGCAAATCTAAAGCTAGTTGATAGCTACATTTTTAGCGAGCGGTGTTTTTACGATATATTGATAGCTACATATCATAATTTTGTCAGAAGCTACAACACAATGACAATTCTAGAACTACTATGCGATAATAGCCATCGATATAGTAATATGTATTTACATATCGTGTGTTCTTAGTTAGCGATGTTAAAACAACATGGTAGCTACATATCATAGCTTAGTAGCTTGCCAAAACAGTACTACAAATCTATAGGTAGTAGGTACCAGCAATTTTCAACTGTTTTTAGAAAAATTAATAGCTTCAAGTGAAAAGAAAAATTAATATCTTCAAAAAATTAATAGCTTCAAAAATTAATAGCTTCATCTTT